AGATATGGCTGGGCGGGCCAAGGGGGGCTGGAGGTGCAACTGGCCAGAGCTGACCCCCACAAGCCTGCTCCCGTGATTTGGTTCTCTCGGCATCTTCGCCGTTAGGGCAGGAGCCTGCCCCGGGTGCTCAGCACCATCCGCAGATGAGCTGGAAAAACCCTGCTAGCCCCGAGGAGAAAGAGCTAGGTGGCAGGGTTTCCTAGTGGTTAGAGCAGATGCCTCATGTTGGGGAAACCGGCGTGCCCGTCCCTACTCTGCCACAGGTTGCCTCCACGGCCTTGGGCAAATCCCTTCAAGGGTTGCTGAAACGAAAACCTCAGCAGGTGCCCTCTCGCCCGCGCCTCGCTCGGCTCCCAAATGCGCAAGGCGGGCGCCGCGGTGTCCGTGCCAGGGCCCCCGCCAAGGGGCAGGTCCAAGACCCCCGGCCGGCTTGGGAAGCCCCTTGTGGCGGGAACGCCTCAGGAGACGGTGGAGAGCCGGGCGGGGGGTCGGCGAGGCGGACACCAGCCTACAGGGTCCCTGAGGCAGCACGTAGGGCGGGAGCCGTGTCCGGGCCTCCTGCTGGCTTTCAGTTGAGGGGGAATATCGCCCCCAGGCCCACCCCCCCAATGGCTCAGCCCAGGAAACCAGGATCCCAGCCGCAGTGCCGACCTCCGAGGGCCGCCGTGGGACCTGAGGGCAGGCTGAATTCCTCCCCCCACCCTGCAGCAAATCCCCCCTCACAGGAGACACCGCTTCCCCCGCCCGGCTCCTTGCCCTCTGGAGGGAGCTCGGCTGTGGGGCAGGAAGGCTGGTGGCTGTTCTGCTCCCCCAGCCGGGCCCCCGTTAGAAGCAAGCAGCGCTCTGCTCGCCTCAGCCCAGCCTGCGAGCCCCCCTCCAGCCTCCGCCGGTCCCCAGGCAGCTAGTGACCGGACCCGGAGCTTCTCGGCCTCTGGGAAGCCTGCCGAGACCTGGCTGCTGGGACGGGGTGACTGGAGGGCTCCGTCCTCAGCCCGGCCCCTCCCGGCTCGTCCTGCTCCCGGGTGGGTCGCAAGGCCAGGCCGGCAGCATTCCGGGCTCTGCGTCCAGGTGGGCGCGCTGGAAATGGGTGTCGCTCCGGTGACCCATGTCGTTTCGGGGGGGGGGGGGGAGGGCGTGGGGTCAGGTTACCTGCAGCCGCTCGGCAGTTTGGGGACACGCCCCCCCACGCAGAGCAGAACCGCACGGCCCCAGCAGGCTCTCCGTGCAGCGCGGGGCTTGGGAGGGCAGGCCAGGCGAGAAATCCCGCACATGCAGCAACTGGCCAATGGGAGCTGCTTGTTTGAATAACAGGCAGCCACGAAGCACCACACCCTCCGGCTCAATTATTCCCACAAGCACATGGCTCTGCAGCATGGGTAGGTGCAGGGCAGGCTGCCTGGGAAACAGTTTAGAATCACAGCACCCTAGAACTGGAAGGGACCTTGACTCCAGTCCCCTGCTCTCACGGCAGGACCAAGCACCATCCAGATCATCCCTGACAGGTGTCTGTCCAACTGCTCTTAAATATCTCCAGTGATGGAGATTCCACGACCCCCCTCGGCAATTTATTCCAGTGTTTAACCCCCCTGACACTTAGGAAGTTTTTCCTAACGTCCAACCTCAACCTCCCTTGCTGCAGTTTAAGCCCATTGCTTCTTGTCCAATCATCAGAGGCCAAGAAGAACAAGTTTTCTCCCTCCTCCTTGTGACACCCTTTTAGATACCTGAAAACAGCTATCGTGTCCCCCCTCAGTCTTCTCCTTTCCAAACTAAACAAGCCCAGTTCCTTCAGTCCTCCCTCATAGCTCATGTTCTCTAGACCTTTAATTATTCTTGTTGCTCTTCTCTGGACCCGCTCCAATTTCTCCACATCTTTCTTGAAATGCGGTGCCCAGAACTGGACACAATACTCTAACTGAGGCCTAACCAGCACAGAGTAGAGCGGAAGAATGACTTCTCGTGTCTTGCTCCTAACACACCTGTTAATGCATCTCAGAATCACGTTTGCTTTTTTTTGCAACAGCATCACACTGCTGACTCATATTCAGCTTGTGGTCCACTACGACCCCTAGCTCCCTTTCTGCCGTGCTCCTTCCTAGACAGTCGCTTCCCATTCTAAAACGATTGTTCCTTCCTAAGTGGAGCACTCTGCATTTGTCCTTATTAAACTTCATCCTATTTACCTCTGACCATTTCTCCAGTCTGTCCAGATCATTATGACTCTGCCCTCCAGAGCAGTCGCAACCCCTCCCAGTTTGGCATCATCTGCAAACTCAATAAGTGTTCTGTCTATGCCGTTATCTAAATCGGCGATGAAGATATTGAACAGAACTGGTCCCAAAGCAGACCCTGCAGAGCCCCACTTGTTCTGCCTTTCCAGCAGGACTGAGAGCCATTAATAATTACTCTCTGAGTACGGTTATCCAGCCAGTTATGCACCCACCTTATAGTAGCCCCATCTAAGTTGTATTTGCCTAATTTATTGATAAGAATATCATGCAAGACTGTATCAAATGCCTTACTAAAGTCTAGGTATACTACATCCACTGCTTCTCCCTTATTCACAAGACTCGTTATCCTATCAAAGAGAGCTATCAGATTGGTGTGACATGATTTGTTCTTTACAAATCCATGCTGGCTGTTCCCTATCACCTTGCCACCTTCCAAGTGTTTGCAGATGATTTCCTTAATTACTTGCTCCATTATCTTTCCTCGTTTTAAGCTCTGAAGGCAAGCAGGCTGGTTGGGCTGCTGGCTGGTAAGTCTCCTGGCCAGAGCCTGCCTCTGGCACCCCAGCCCCCCTTTTTCCCCAACTCTCTGCCCCACCTCGACAACCCTGCAACATACTTCAACATCCCTGCAACATATTTCTCTCCTACGTGTCCTCCTGGCCCACCCACTTGTCACTGGAATCCTCTTTAGCTAAGGAGGAAACTCAATGTGGGGCAGGATGAGGCCACCGCAAAGGCCCCCCTCTCGGGTGGGCTCGGTCGCCAGAGTGTCCAAGGCCCCTCGTGTGTATGGATTGATCCCCATGCACGCCAGAAGGCAAAGCAGGGCTGGTATCCCCGTTGTACAGCTGGGGAAATCAAGGCACCAAGCCGCAAAGGGACTTGACCATGGTCACACACTGTGTCCATGTCAGAGCAGGGAATGGATACCAGCTTGCCCGAGTCCTGGCTCCATCCTTCCTCCTCCAGTCTCTTCGTCCCGTCTGGGTCCAGCGACCTCAGCAAGGGAAGGAACAAGCTCCAAAGGGGTATCAACGGTGCTGCCTCGCCTCTGACAGGGCCCACTGACACCAGCACAGCAGGGCCCTCGGGAGATCAGTGGGGTTCTTGGCTTCCCCAAAGGGTGCTCAGGCTGCAGCAGGGTGGGGGGAACAAAGGGGGGGGGGGGGTTTTGCGGGGTGAGCCCAGCCAAGGAACTGAGATGAGGGGGGAGCTGTGCACGAGGCAACGGGACGATTGTGCCCAGCATGTGGGGTGCCCGGGGGGGAGGGCGAGGAGGGGAGAACATTGGAGCAAACTGGCCAGAGCCTTTTAACTCGCGGATCCGGGGAGGAGAGGGGTGGAGACGCGGCTGGGAGAACGACAGCTCGCGTTCCCTGCC